AACAGCTTATATCCTGCGATGATACCTTTAACACCATCAAACAACAACATCTGCCTATCCCGGGTCCTTGGGAAGGACTCAATAGGTGGATAAAAATGCCAAATCCAGTCTAAACATCTAGCTGACTGTGTGACCAACCATAATATATTAAACTTGTATGCTGCCCAACTCTCAACGACTCTGGGCATAGCCCTTATGTTCATGGAAAGGGCAGTCTGAATCCAACCCAGTATACAATATGATGTACTAATCAATTTCAGATACACAAATAAGGATATTTCTTTTGATGTCCAGTCAATCCAATATTGCTTACATTATCTTGCTGCACATTGAGGGCAGAATCTTCTTCCTTCAGCTTCATCATTATGTCTACATCTCTCTCATAGTTCTTAACTTCTGTCAGAGTCCTAGGGATATAGGCTTTCCTGAACACCTAACAAGGCAAATTAAGCACAATCTGATAAATTATAAATCACTTAAGTCCTATTCTCTCCAGTTATTATTAATCAGCTAAGACAGGAGATCATAAGTCTCTTACTCCATGTCTAATTGCACCATATGCTTGCAAGGATGAACAAAAAGTGTAAATCAGGACTTAGATTCATGTGTGAAAAAGTAAAAACACATTTACTTTTCCTGGAATCACTTTGATATAGAAAGAAACATCTTGTATAATCTACATTACACTCTTCTATTTAAGAATGTTAATTCTATTACAAACTAAAGATAGTTTCTTAGGGCTAAAAAAAGAGCACAAAAATGATGGAGTGGAAGCAGAGATTTGAACAAAATATATTCCATGATGGATTCTTTACTGCATTTCACTAATTGTTTAAATATAAAAATTATAATGGTAGAATAAATGAACTATGGCAATTATTTGAAGACTGTAAAAATAGAGATTCTGCTATAACATTTGATGAATCATTTGAAAATAAACATGCTCCTGAGTATTATCAAAATACAGAGGAATAGTTTAGGTTCTTTCAGAAGAGACATGATTTATTTATTTAGTGCACTGGCTTACCTCTTCATCCACATTATTTTGACTGGACCTTTCTTCCACTGTTCTTCCGGATGCAATTTCCATTACCTGTAAAATATTGAGAAATAAGTTCCTAATATCAGAAAACTCACTCAAAAGAGATAGTCAGGTTCTTTGACAGATGCCTTTACCAAAGTGATTCTTTTCTAAGCACAATTCTCACCAAGTTCCCTTTAGTAAGATTTATTGAGATGGATGGGTTACAAGAATTCCAGCAACTAAACTATGTTTAATTTAGAAGCAATATATCCCCATGCACATTAGGATGGAGATGCTCTGCTTCTCTAACAGTCTTCCATAGATCTGGCAAGGAAACCTTTTTTTTCCAATAATAATGAAGTTTGCAGCTGGTTGTTTATCAGTCTGGGAACTAATTTTTAGAGAACAGGCTAAGCAGCCATTCTTCCATCCAAGTGTTAGTGCCTTTTTCAGTGCTCTGATTGCCATGAGGCTTTCAATGGCTGCATAACTGAGCTGGAGAAACAGGACCTTTGAAGCACATTTGAAGGAATCTGCTGCTTCATTTATGGGGTTGTGCCATATGAGAACGCTCACGACACAGAAGTCAAAACTGGCAAATGGAAATGAACTGCTCATTCTGAAGCAAAAGCACCTGCACCCGCAGAAAGGACAGGTTGTGGGGGGAGCTGGCTTGCAATTACTGAAGAATCTAGTATTCTTAATAAGGTACATGACTGGGGTGCACTCTATTAATTTGAACTGACTTGCTGGCTGTGTCTTTTCTAAAGCAGACAGAAAGACATCAACCAGCCATGCTTATCACTTCCAGACTAGAATATTGTAGTACGTTAAAGGCAGTCTGTGAACTTCAACTAGCCCAAAATGTGAAGACCAGATCTTTTCTGGAATCTGCAGATAAGACACATAATTTAAATTCTATACCAGATTCATTGGATCTTGCCCATTGTGGCTTTTGCTTAATATATAATGCCAATTTTGACCTTAAAACTCTCACTGTAAGATGCTCAATACAATGCTTATGGGCACCAATGAACCACTGCGCAACCTCCTTGAAGTCCACCAGACTGCCAGATCCATTGTACTTTAAAAAAATTAATGTAATTTTAAACAAAATTAGGAAGGAAGTTGGCATGCTGCAGATCATCAGCCTCTAAAATCTTATTTATCTCCATGAATGCGCCTGGATTCCAAATAACCCCATAAGCTTTTGATAAAGTCAGCAGCTGCAGATGTTTCACCACTGTCCTGTACACAAGGGCTTCAATTGCAACTGAAAAAGGGTATTTTTAAAAGATCCATATCTTTCAGATCTCATAAACAAGATGGGAAGATCAGTTAGGTGTTTATAGCATGTTGTAGAAAGTCTCATAAGAGCCAGCTCTTCTTATCTGCAATAAACAAATACTTTTGTTTTCGTTCATAAATAGTGATTTAGAAGCAATATAAATACAGGTAGTCCTTGTTTAGCGACTGCTTCATTTAGTGACCATTCACAGTTACGATGGTGATGAAAAATAACTTTATGACCAATCCTCACATTTACGACCTGTGCGGGTCTGTAAAGCAAAGGAAAGTTGAAGTAAGATCATAAGTACAGTTGTGGCTTCACTTAGCGACCACGTTGCTTAACAGGTGAGTTGCCATTCCCAGTTGCAGTCACTAAACGAGGACAACCTTTATGGACCTTCAGTATGAATATTTTTCTGTAGAAGGTAAATCTTCAAACCCTACCTTTTCAAGGTAAGCATCCATATTCTTATTTGTAATAGATGGATCAGTGACAAACTCAAAGAGCTCTCTCACTGTCATCACTGCAACATTGTATTTATGAAAGAAATCTGTCAGAAAGGAAAAAGATGATGTTAAGGTTACTATTACCTATAGAAACCTTGATGGCCCCAAATTCAGCTTCTGAACCTTGTGCCAGAAGATTTAGAAGCTAATTTATGTGGGAGGAGCTTTGGATGGCACTAAGAAAACCTTTCCTGGATAGTCCATCTTTAAGCACCCCATCTCCAAACAGATCAGTTGAAATCATCAGGCTTATTTTTAAGATTGAAATGTCCAGTTATGTAGTTTAAATATGATCAGCTCTCTTTAGTAGCTAAATTACACAAAGAATATTATCTCCTCCTCACCATTGATATTGGCACAGTCTTTCCTCAGGAATTCTAAAGCATGTGGATGATCGTGTTCCACAGACTGGGACACATCTATAATATATACCTGTCCACTGTGATACCTGGAAAAAGGGAAACATTGATATAACAGTACAATACATTTATTTCCAAACATCTTATATCTATCATAGCATTTTCAGAAAACAGAGTATTTGGAGGATGTCTGGAAGAGTGAGGGCCACAGAATTTTAGTTGCTGTAATGAGTCTGCCATTCTAATCAAATAACACCAATCTGGCAAGTCAGTTTGAAAGAAGAGGTGGATAGACAGGAGGCATTTGCTTGGTCTCAACTCTTATATCCCTGTCACCCTGTTCTGCCATACTGTTCTGCATATAAAAGAAATGCTAGATGGTGGACAATGGAAAAACCTATCCCCAATACGTGATTTTGAAACCCAGGGCTAGTTAGAGTTGGATGGACTTCCAAAATTTTCCAAAAGTTAAAACCTTTAAACTGGGAACTTTGCAAAGTGAGATGGTATGCAATTCTGGCTAACTTGATTGTGGGTTTGGGCTGAATAGCTAAAGAATGGTTCTTCAGTTGTGCAACAGTTCAGTTGTGAATTGTTCTTCACCCCGCATGTGAAAACTAATGCTGCATAGTCCTGTTCTGGGCAGAGGAAAATATGACATCTCTCAGGGCAGAACGGACCCAGGGAATCCACAACACAGTAGCAGACTGGCTCAGCCCCAAAAAACCCGGACTCTGCCTCAGCCCCACATGTCTGAGCAAATTACACTGGGAATCCAGCAAGGGTCTCAGAGAGCAGCACTAACTGGCCCCCAAAACTACTATATCCCTTCCCTGCAATCCCACTAACCTTGGGATCCTGATATTTAAAGCATATGTGATGGAAATGGTCCTGACCATGAGGATGGTAGGTGGAACTCACAGTGTGTTCTCCATAGCAAGGTAGAACTGGATCTGGGGGAGGCAGCTATCTCTTCCCACAGGAACTGATGTGGAATATCCTCTCAGCTGTAGGAAAACCTGGACAATACCTACCTTACCTTGAGGGGAGAACCCCACCCCTGCAATTCTTAGTCATTATGCAAATAAGTCTCCAGTACCAATGTTAAAGTTCCAAAACAAAAACACAAATAAAACATACAGCATATTAAATTCACTGAGATCTGCATGAACAAGCTTGGCATCCTGGTACATTCTTCTCATATATTGTATGACTTGCAGATATAACTCCCGGGCTTTTGACTCGGATAACTGGGCATTTTTCAACAAAGGAGCAGGCCTTGGAGAAAAAGAAAAAAGCAACAAAGAATACAATGTTTATATATCTTTCCAACCACCCCTCTCCTTAAATACGGCAATTGCTCTCTTTCAGTAAGAGAACTGTATAAGGCCAAAACAAGCTCCCACATAAGCAGAGGTGTGAAGCACAAGGAAAAAACAAAACATTTGGGGGGGAAAGTGAAACACTCTCTCATTTTTCCCAATTTTCACATCCCTACATCTAATCCTGGTGCATCAGTTTACCAGCTTTCCTAATTGCACAAGGTATCTGCTTTCTGATCAAGCCTCACAAATATCACAATTAGATTGTGTCCTTGAGCCTATGTACAGTGAAGTCTCAATTTAACGGACACCCATTTAGTGGACTTCAGATGCAAAAGACAAAATGGACATCCAGATATTTCTCTTGTATCCAAAGTAATCCAGACATGCACTTTAAAAAACCCACTTACTTATATGCCATAATTTATTGTTGTTATTACACAAACAATGCACAACAAAATGAAGAAAGCAATTTGTTATTTAATGGACATTCAGAAAGAACTGATCACACACCCCTTCTCCAAAGGATCTGTTAAACTGAGATTTCAGCTAGTATTTTCATTTGAAAGTAAGCACCAGCACCATTTACTTGAATGTTGTGCAGCCCTAAAAAGCAAATTAGAGATGCTCAGTTGCTGAGGTCAATCTAGTTTCCAGGACAAAAGTGCACTTCAGCAACTGAGTATCCTTGATTTGCTTTCTTAGGCTTCAGGAGCTGAGTAGTTAAGCCCCCTCCGATGAGCCATCATGGTGAACTGACTGAATAGAGGAACATACTGAGGCTGAAAACGGCGCTTGAATGCAGGATTCAGGCTGCCAAAATCTCTCCAGAGCAAGGAAAGATTGCAAGATCACCCATATGTACTCCGTACAGCTGTTTTTTTGTGAGTAGACAGCAGGAACTGTGTTTTTTGCAGTCAGCTTGTGATTGGCTGGGAGTTGCGGGATTTCATTGTGCTTATAGCTGCTAATGTCACCTATATGGACTTTAAGTTCAACCAAGACTCATTCCTTAATCACTTTGGACTTAATTTTTTTTTTTGCTTTTTTTTTTTTTTTTTTTTAAGATTGAGAACCTTCAGACCAGTGAGTTTTATTGAAATCTTGGGTGAGTCTCCTTCAATCCTTTAGAAGCTTAACTACAAGTTCAAAGATTTGTAGTAAAAAAACCTTTTTTTTGGAATATACAACAGAGGGATGATCACTGTTGACTTTAGAAAGTGTTAAACAGATTAAGGGTTCAGATGGACTTGGTTTTAGACTTTAAAGTTAATTGAAAGGATCCTTTCTGGTGGGAAATCCTCTTGTTTATACTTAGAAACTGATAAGATGACTTTAAAGGCTGGACACTAGAGGGCACCAGATGGCTACCTTAAAAGAAATGTTTGATGAGGTCTTTGAGCTATTTAATTCTATAGTAGAATCAGAAGATGCTATTGAAGAGGAACAAGCCCCATTGAATAAAACTGAAATTGAATTACAGGTGGATTTAAAAATTATAGCCTACAAGAAAGAGATGGAAATAATGAACTTACAAATGAAACTGGATGATGATTTAAAAATTTAAAGAGATACACAAATAATAAATCAGAAGAGCAAAGTGGATTATTTTCTTATATTGGATTTGCTAGAATTGCCACACTGGAATTACAAAAGAGACCTGACAAAGATGACAAGAACTTTGAGAGAAGAGACAAAGAGAGCACGAGGAAGCAGATTTTAGAACTTTCTTCGAGGAATTTAAAGATTGTTGGGAGAAAGAAGAAAGAATACAAAATCAGTTTATTTGATCAAGGTTTAAATAATTTGGTTGCTATTGCTGGTGATGTTTAATGGTCTTTTGATTGGGACTGGATGATTATTATTTTTGGTAATGTTTATTTGTTTTTTGACTGGGAATGGACTTTTGACTATTTGAAGAGGGAAAATAGGGGAGATCTGCTTAAATAGATATGGAGATATAAATATAAAAGGAAGGCTTCAAATTGGGTGTAACAGATATAGTTTGTAATACTTACATTGTTATTTCTCATAACCCTTACTAGACTTTTCCTGATAAACACAGAGAGGATGGTTTAGAGAGGGGTTTACAGAGAATGGGGTGAGGTATGGAATGAAGAAGTGTTTGGCTGTAGTTTAAGAGACAGTGATAAATTGTTAATGTTGATTATACTTGCTGAGGATGAAGGGGAAGATTGCTTTTTCTATCTTTTTCTTTTCCTTTTTTTTCTGCACTTCAAAACATTTTTTAGAAATCGTAATGTATCTTTGTATTATGTAGCCGTATTTGTTTTATTTGTATAATACAACCTTTAATAAAATTATTGGAAAAAAATGGAACTGACTAAGTAACCTGTTCTGGATAGGGCTGCAGAGAACAATACTTAATTTCTCTCCCCTTGCAGAGAACAATACTTAATTTGGGTGCCTGTTATATGATGAATACTCAAGTCTAATGAAGTACATGCAGTCCATCTGAATCCACAGGTACATAGAAATGAAAAGCATGCCAGGGTGGACTAAAACAATCATGTGCCAAAAACCAGGAAAAGATCAATATATAACTGATGGATAAAAGTACCAAGAGTCAGGACATCAACTTCCATGATCAGGAACAGCTAGGTCCTTCCCCAAATTGTTTTCTAAAATTATAACAGTATCCCATGACAAGATTGATGAGAACCAGCAGGTTTATGAAACCAATATTTTTAGGTTATCAAGTAAACAGAGCTGTTTGTGTCAGCTATGTTTGTGTGTGAAGTATGTAAGTGTGTGCATGTCAAGTATAGGAGTGTCTCTATATTATTTTATTTGCTGCTTTTTACTTACTTCTTTCACTTTTTTTTCCATACTGGAAAATCTTTCTGGAATCAAGGAACTACAAGATAACTTTTGGTAACTGTCAGATTACTAAGTTATATAACCTCTCTGCTTACATTGGGAAAATTGTACGGTATTGATCAGCAATGGGTACCTCTAAGTAGTTGTGCTAGAAATGAGAAATGTACTAAAGGGATAACTCTATTGAAGCTTTGAATCTATAAACCTATGCCAGTCCTTCTCAAGCTCAGCAACTTTAAGATGTGTGGACTTCAATTTCCAGAATTCCCCCGGCCAGCATGCTGGGAGTTGAAATCTGCACATCTTAAAGCTGCTGAGGTGAGAAGCACTGACCTATGCAATGGAAGACACTAATAAATAAATACTTGAATTCCCATACAGCCATTTCCCATGCTATACTTCTTAAATACCTTCTAAAGAAGTATGTAGGAATGTGCCTACTAAGTGTGTGAATCTGTAAATCATAATTTTAAAGCTTACTATCCTGGGTGAATCTGGCCACTATGATTTGCCTAACAAATCATAATTAAAATAAATAATGGCTTAACGTAAAATCTGAACCCAGCCATAGCATCTGAATATACTTACATATCATTTTTGCCGATAAAGCCCATCACAAGGACATGACTTCTTAGCATAATGGGTTCTGGACACGGAATTTGTGCTGTATATAACCTACCAAGCAAGAAACCGAAAAGACAGAACTGCTGTTATTTGGTACATTTGATACCATCTATTCAAAAAAAGGACCTATGTGCAGAAAAGAGCTTGAGAAACTCAGAAGACAATTTAGCCCAACAATACTGATCTGACCATCATAATTAGTCAGAAAATACATAAAGCAAGAAAATACATAAAGAAAGCCTCACAAGCACTCCTAGCCTTGCTGGGCACCTTTCATTTTCATTCTCATGCCTAGAGGCCAAATATAAAGTTTTGCCTGTAAACTGTTAATTGAGCAAATAATTACTTTCTCCCCAAAATCTTTGGCAGAGGTGCTTCCTTCCTTTTCAGTGTAAAAGATTTTTAAAATTTGAGATGGGAATACATGCTTCAATTTAAAAACAAAAACAATCCTTTCATTTCATGGGTTAACATGAACTGGTTGAGCAGAAACATTTTGTGGAAGAAATTGGCCACCTTAAACATGGAACCCAGACTCTTATTCCTAGTTAAGACCCTCTACTGAAACACCCACTTGAAAGTGCATACAGGTGTAAATAGTTCTCTAACTCAGAGTATACCTACCCAAAAAGGTGTTAGACAGGGTTGCATTCTAGCCCCAGTGCTTTTTAATCTCTATGTTAATGATATTCCAGGATTCCTGTATGCTTCAGACACTCATATGCCAAAGATCTGTGATAAATTTATTAATATTCTTTTATATGCTGAAATATGGTTCTAATGGCGCATTCTCAAATAGGCCTGAGAAGACTATTTGGAAAACTAAATACCTACTCCATTCTCAATTCTCTAAACATCAATAAAACCAAACCTAAACTGATGGTATTTAGCAAAAAAAAGTGTGAAATAGAACTGGCAGTTGAATGAGGAGCCAACTGAACAAGTGAATTCTTTCTCCTATTCAGGAGTGGCCTTTACCAACCTAGGGTCATGGGCAAATCATTTTAAAAGAAGCTGAGGTGAGGGATGAGGCAAGTATCAAAAGATTATATAAATTATTTAGTTATAATTACCCAGGTACCTTGAGCCCCATATTGAAAGTATTTAGGGCAAAAATAGTCCCAATGCTGACCTATGGGGCCTTACAAAAGCTGCATCACTTGAAGAAGTTCAGACCCATTTTTTTAAGAAGCCCCCATGGTCAGAGCAGAAGCAGGTATCATCCATACATAGCCACTCAACAATCAAAGTTTTTACCTAATGGCAGAGGCTCCATTCAATGGACCCTGATAGGCTACCCAAAATATGTTTTGCTGAATAAATATGGCTCAGCCCACTTCCTGGGTAAGCCCAGGAATATCAAAGTTATTTTACAGCATGGGTTTTCCACCCAATATTTACTCTCAACTGCCTCCCAGGCAAAGGAAATTTTTAAACAGAGTCCTAGGTATCAGTGCCCAAATAGACATGGAGTTATTGGCAAAAATACATAGATCTTTAAATTGGTTGGCTAAGAACAAAACCACTTTCCCAACCTAAAAAAACCTGTCAATAAGTTTGGCAGAATTCCTGAGAAGGGCTTATTGTGGAACAAGATTTGAGTTGTTGGGTTCCATGGCCAAATATGGGCACTTCCATCACTTGCCATGTCATGAGAGGACATGTATATGCAGTGCCCCAGCCATCAAAGATATTGCTCATGTTTTGTTTGTCAACTGTATGTCCCTTTTAGACTTAGATTTTAAAAAAGGGAGGGAATATTCTTCTCCCCTTCCTCTACTCTCTGAGCCTGTTGGTTGTTAAAGGTCAAAAGCTTTTCTCACTCAGGGAAAGAGAGATGATTGAAAAATATATTTGACTGAAGTGGTTTGTCAGATATCACTTCTTGAAGAAGAACATATGAATGTGATAACCTAGTATGTATACTTTCCCATGTTTCATCACTGTATTATTGATTTCTGAACATGGATCATTTGTGCATGTTAGAAAAGAAAAATAAAAACATGGTTTTCTTTTTAGACATTCTGTAAAAATGGAAACACAGATATTCAAATTGTTTTACTTTTTAAGGCACTCCAATATTAGTCTGAATGAGTGGTTGAAAGATTGCATCTCCTGAACATTTTGCTTCTTTAAAAGTTGTAATTCTATTATTTCAACTTCCAGAAGATTAAGATCATCTCCTAATCCTGTATAAAAATGAAAGTCAAGATGAAAATGGAAGAAGGTAAATTCTCACCTGGTTAAATTCCTCATTTCTTTTTCTGCCCATGTCCTGACCATCTTCCTTGGGTTTCCTTTACAGTATCCATGGCGAAACCTTGGAATGGCAAGAGGGAAATGGAATATTTTTGTAAAAAAAAGAAAAAAGAAAAGTGAAAAGTGAAATCCGGAAGTATGCAACACAGACTCACCTGAATTCCCCACTCACATATTTATCCCGATCTTTAAACATCAAAATAGAAGTTTTATAAATCTTTATTGCTCTGTTCTCGCCTTTTGCAGTGCTGGCATGATACACATTAGCCTGGCAAAATACAAAAGTATAATAAGAACATATCAATATATAGATATCAATATTTTATATGAGAAGTCAACCAATAGTTTTAAAATTAATTTGTTTTAACTAATTGATATATTGTATAGACTTGAAATACGGAGTTTATCTGGATCATTGTCTATGTTCACATGTTCGAGTTGGTTTAATGAACCTAGCCATTGTGGCACATAATTTATTATTAGGGTTAGGGTTAATTTTAAGATCTACTGTATATCATAATAGTTCAAGTCAAAGTTACTTTGAAAAATCTTGACTTCCCCTGGGTTGCAAAAACAAAAGGACTGTTAAGGGCCAAACACATGACCCATGAATCACTAGCTGTTCAGGCTAAATCTAAAGATCACAGTGGTACAAACCACATTCTGTTAATACTTTAAATCCCTAAACTCCTTCCCGAACAGATGAACCATGAACAGAAGTAAATGGAAAAAAGAGGACGAGACTTGCATAGTTTTGCATATAGATGTGCAACTTCTTGTAAAATTAATGCATAGGATTAATGACATGAAACAAATACTTCTTTATCATGAATGGTCTGTGTGGAGGGAAAAATGGTTCCCTGTATTTGTAAGCCTATTTCCACATGTGCAAAAAGTTGTTTGGATTTTGTCCTGGGTTTGGTGCAGAATGCTTGAATGAAAAGAAGCACTCATCTCAATGACAGTTGCAAATTGTAATTCTGCAAATTATGCTGCTGCATCCCACATCAGATAGTCTTCAAAGCGTTATTTCAATACCTGATTATTTATCAAAGGGATAGCCTGCCTGGGTAACCCTCAAGTCAGATCTGACATCAAAGGCAATATTTTTGTTTTAAAAAACCTAGAATACAGAATCAGATTATATTAAGTTCTGGGTTATGAGGACTGAAACAAGGACTCAGCTTGTGAAAGTACAGCTAAGTGTTAAGAGAAAGAATCACAGCAAAACTTGCTTGCAGCCTGCTCCTCCACAGCCCCCAAAAAGTTTAGAGGGTATTTAATTAACCACAGGAAAAATATGGAGGTAGAAGCTTCACTCTCCTCATATGAGCCTTGTGACGTAGACTAGACAGAAAACATGGCCAGCTGAGCTAATTCTACCTTATTGTAAGGTTACATTAACAAAATCTTGTAAGTCTGAAAGTACATCTCTCCCCCCACCCCTTTTACAGCGCAAGAAACTAGGGAGGGTCTCTTCTGAGCCTTTTGCCCCCACCCACATTTCTGCTGTGGGCTAAGCTGCCTTTTATCTGACCGTTCCCTTGGCTGCGTCTCTTCACCCTACCTCCCAAGGTCATTCCCACATGCCACTACACCGCACAACTGAAACTGAGATACTCAGTGCATTCAAGTCCAAGCCTTGCTGCATCTTAACCTTTCAAAGCTAAATCTTTGGTATCTATAAATCCATCCCAGTCCCTATGCAGAAGAATACTTTTTGTTCCAAAATGACTTTTCAGAAATTTATAGGATGCTTGTAATACAAATCACACACTTTTTAAAATGCATTGTAAGTTTACTTTTAGCAAACAATGAGTTCAACCAACCTCTTTTCCACTGCTGACACAACCATTGATCTCTGATATCACACCTCTACTAAGCATCTTGAATAGAATCATTCGTGTTCTTGGGTCCAGGACCTTAGAAAAACAAAACGTACACATCAGCAAATTCATTACTTACAAAGATGTGGGTAAGTCATTTTCAAGCTTAAAACCCAAGAAAGGCCTATTTACTCAGCCTATTTACTCAGAACCAGGATTCCCTCCTACAAAGTTTGTACCGATTCTTTTTCCAACCTTGGTTTGTTTTTTTGCAAATCTTTAGTCTGCAATTGCTTTAAAGTTTAAATAGCATTTCACTAACATATATGAGCAAAACCTTATACACTTGACTATATCACAAGCCATTAGAGAATGGGGCCCATATTGTTGGATTCATGAAGTGTGCTGAGAAATATCAACTTTGTGAATGAGTATGTGTTTTTATCCATACTGGTCTATATAAGAGATTACAGAGAAATACAGGTAGTCCTCGCTTAACAAGGCAATTATTTGAACTTCTGATGGTGCTGAACATATGAACGTGTTGTCCTTAAGGGCTGAACATTATTTCAACTGAAGGAACTTTTTTAGAGAAACCAATTAATCATGATTTACATTATGACAGTCTACAATTCTATGACCTTTAATAGAGCATCTGATGTCTTCTCTGGTTTTTTCTCCAAAGGCAGAGATATGATCGTGAAGTTGGAGGGTAAAACTTGACATCAAACTCCCGCTCTGGTCCCCTACCAGCTTCTGAGGGTATTCTACCCAAATAATAATAATAATAATAATAATAAT